TTAACCGAACCATTCGAGTTATACGCATATGGTCCAAATATTCATATGGTCCGGAACATATATTCTAATGTTTAATCCAATTTATTTCATAAATCCTAATGGAGTGCTCCTTAGAAAGGAAGAACAAACCAGTAACAGTAACGGATGCTGATTTGTTTTGACGGGTTTTAAAGCTTTCCAGCGCTTATGTTAAACATTACAATTGATCTAGTATACCCACTTTAAGTAAAGCTTTATATCTTATGTCTTATACTTAGATAGGGTAGACATTGTGCTTTGCAACATACTCATTAGAGAGTTGATGTAAGGGTTCTTGAACGGACCACTTTTATAGAAAAGGTTTACTGCCAGAAACTGCGGGATAAGTCCAGGATGACAATAGATATATACCCCTAGTCAACCGTTGGGACCGGGTACCAAATAAATTACCTAAATTACATAAATGTTTATTAATTAGACAAGTTATAGTTTTTCTAAAGAGCCTCCAATTAGAAAATTAGTAGCTTTTCTAAAACGCTTGAATTGGACAAATGATAGCTTTTCTTAAATGCTTGCAATTAGAAAAAATAGAAGCGTATTTAAAAAGCTTGCAATTGGGCAAACAGTAGCGGTTATTACAAGCTTGGAATTTGATAGGTTCTAGCTTTTCTATTTCACTAAGTTGTTTATTTTGTGTTCTTCGTAGGAACATAACAATGTTCCCCAGGGCAACATTTCACTAAATGTTTAATATTATAACTCATGCAAGTGCACTACTAACCGTTTCCCATGGGAATGTTAATAGTGACTTTCATCTACGAGCCAAATTTCCAGGAAATCGAATGTTCCTTAATTATGTTTAACGATAAACCCCGAAAAAACTTGAAAGAATTTCATCCCTCGCCATGTTCAGTGTCTGTAAGTACCCATCTCCCTTGTCGATGCAGAGATTGGTGATCAGGCTATTCGCATATTTCCCATCGGATTTCGAATAAAACATACAACTGATACACCTGTTTCTGCCCATTCATTGATTAAAATATCGAAATTGAAAGTAGTGTCGGTTGATACGATATTTCAATTATGATTTCCTTTATTGAACGATTGCATCTGACAATAAAACTAAAACAAGGTTTTTCATCACGACTTCAAAAGTTTACAGCCACTACTATGACGAATCACCGTCACAGAATGTTTGCATCGCAATGACCAGGCATATGTCAAATTTTCAGACCTGTCCATGTCAACCAATTCTTTTGCATGTTAAATTTCCGAACACTTAATTTCATCTACTGTTTTTTTTTTATGATACTCAATTAGTTTTCTGTTTAGTTTTTCGTAAACTGATTTTTGTGTCTTTTTGTCGTTTTATTTTAGCTATAATATTGTATGTCAGTTAACTTTCTATTTTGATCACTCAGTATTTTGTTGTTTGTTTTGACAAATGTTTTGATATTTCCATACTACAACCGCTGTGTACGTCTTTGTTATTGCCTGATATTTTAAATATACAAAGAATGTGATAATCACATTGCCAAAGCACCAGTTTTCATCCTCTTTTTCGTTCACTTATTCATAGTTTCTAGTGACGGAGTTATTTGCCTCATCCAAACTAGTTGATAAGAGAACTTGCAGGTCCCGTTACCAGCTAGTGTATAGCGTTGAAGGCAAGAGAAAAATATAATGCAAAGCTTGGTATCTCAGACATTCTCGGGTAAGATTTCAAGATGTCTACCCTCGCCATAGACTGGGAATTTTAATACCTTTGACTGAGTTAGATTTCTAGATCTTGCTCTCTTATCAGTGATGATATCTTTCTCCATTTGAAGTTAATACCGTCTTCCATTTGAAGTTCTTTCTATTTCGATTCCAATGTTTATCTGCTTTTGAAGGCTACATTTACTTTTTATATGCCCAGCAGCAAAATAGAACAAATATTTTAGGATGAAATAGCTCAAAGATAACTTAAATGTACAGACTGCTTGAATTGCCAATTAAACAAAATTGTAAAAGTCAGAACAGTTACAAGTATTTTCGTCTAATGGACATTTGAATTTCTGTGATTAACTCCTGCATATTATGAAGTACCAGATAAGAGGTCTTTGTCAATTTTCCTTATTCTTAGTTAAAACATGCCAAGAAAAATTCAACTTATAATATAAAATACAAATATTGTTTTAATTTTAATGACATTTTCCTTTACTTATAACGTTCAAAAGAAGGTTTTAAACCGAGTGGTGAAACATAGTTTGTTGACTACAACCCAAATCGGACGACATTTTTATACCCTCCGCTTTCTAAATCGGGTGGAATAAAGCAATAAAGAGTACATTTGTCTGCCCATTCGTTCGTCCTCTTGTACCACTTTTTTTAATCCGCAACTGCTGGCCATAATACTGTAAAATTTTCACAGAATCTTATTTAAATGATGGTACTTTTGCAACTTCTATTTCATATCTTTATCTGAATAATTTTTGGGGCTGTCCGTAGCAAATCATGGACTTTGCGAGGGATGAGGGTATCATTGTGGAGCTTTGCTGGCTGTATCTTTAGTTCATTTTATTTATTTTTTCAAATTAACCTCTTAGAAAGACTTGTGTTTGATTAAACTCTTAGTTGAAAAGACCGACAACACAAAACTAAGGGAAATTAAAATTATTAGTAATAGGTGATTGATTGATTGTTGGTATTTAGCGCTACTTTAAGCAATTTTGAAAATGTATTAGTAGTACATTTAATTATAAGAGGAAGCGTGAGCACCATGAGAGAATCGCCAAAATCCAGCAGGAAAACTGGCAAGCCTATTCAATTCAGATCATAGTAAAACTCACCTTGCAAGCGCGGGCTGAAACTGTTTACTCGCGTAGTGGTATTAACCATGTGGATTCTTTAAAAAAAAACTCTAAAGAACTTCTGGATAATTTTAAATCTCGATCTTTCTCTGAAATTAATTCTATCAAAGGTTTTGATTTTTCAACCCTGTATACCACCATTCCCCATGCGAATTTGAAAAATCGTCTAAAAGAAATAATCCACAATGCTTTTCAATATAAAAATAGTAGCATACGCTATCAATTTATTGCTTTTGGATACCATACGGCATATTTTGTTAATAGTGAACAAAAAGGTAAAACATGCTACACATAGGAACAAGTGATCAGTATGTTGGAGTTTCTTACTGACAACATATTTGTTGAATGTGGATGTAGACTTTTCAGCAAATTGTCGGCATTCCTATGGGAATGAACTGTGCGCCTATCCTTGCCGACCTTTTCTTATTTTCATATGAATCGGAGTTCATTCAGATACTTATCAAAAACAAGAAGATTAAAGAAGCCAGATCATTTAATTTCACATTCAGATATATTGATGATGTTCTTTCCATTAACAATCCAAACTTTTCTGATTGGGTTCCATTAATATATCCTCAAGAACTAGAAATTAAAGAAACAACAGACACGGCTTCCTCCGCCTCATGTCTAGACTTGTACCTCGAATTTGACATAAGCGGTCATCTCAGTACCAGAATCGATGACAAACGAGACGATTTTAATTTTGAAATTATAAATTTTCACATCTTAGCAGCAATATACCAACTTCACCTGCATATGGGATATACATTTTCCAACTCATTCGGTATTCAAGAGCTTGCAGCTGCTACTCAGACTTTATAAAACGTCACCAGTGTCTGAGCAGAAAGTTGATGAACCAGGGTAGTGTCAAAGAACGTCTCGTCCTTTTAAAAAAAAAGTCCATCGGAAGATACCAAGACCTTGTTGATAAATATTCCGTATCAACTTCACAAATACCGGTAATACATGATTGTCTTAAAAGAGGGGCGAAAGATACCAAAGAGACATTCAAACTCATTTGTCGAAAATAAACTGACGACGCCATGGCTAAAAAAAGAAAAAGACAAACAGACAAACAATAGTACACAAAACACAACATAGAAAACTAAAGACTGAGCAACACGAACCCCACCAAAAAGTAGACATTTCCCAACTCATTCGGTATTCAAGAGCTTGCAGCTTTTTAAAAAAAAAGGACGAGACGTTCTTTGACATAATCCTTGTTCTTCAACTTTCTGCTAAGACACTGGTGACGTTTTATAATATGAAGATTATAGGTACTGACGTTGTTTATCATCTTAATTGCGTGTTATAGTGTTTTGGTTTTTTTTTTTTTATTTATCTTTCTATATTTTTAACCTTAACTGTACATGCATATATATGTTAAGTCCATTTTTGGTAATATGCTTTTTTGCGTGGCTTGGTATTATACATCCCGCCATGGTGTTATTGTGCTATGGTCATTTTTGTATTATTGTCTTTCATTTTTGCTCATGTACTTTGTCTATATTGTGTATCTATATGCCATTTTTGTTTTTCTTTGTTGAAATAGTTATTTGTTTTATAGTGGTTAAGATTATAACACAATGTTGACTGCTGTACCGCAATTTTTGACATTTTTACCTTTTATGTCTGTTTGTTTTGCTCACACATTGTTGTAAATAATATGGATTCTATGCGACTGTCATACAAGTGAGATGTTTAGCTAGCTATAAAACCAGGTTTAATCCACCATTTGAAACATAAGGAAATGCCTGTACCAAGTCAGGAATATGACAGTTGTTTTCCATTCGTTTGATGTGTTTGAGCTTTTGATTTTGCCATCTGATAAAGGACTTTATTATTTTATTTTTTTTGAATTTTCCTTGGAGTTCGGTATTTTGTTATTTTACTTTTTTCAAACGATGACAGGCGATTGAGCACTCTAGACCACCTAGGTCATTGATCCATCGAAATAAGGGGTGAAATGAGTAAGTAACTTGAAAAACGGGCGGATTTACAAAATAACTCTTGATCTCAAAAGATTCGCAAAATGAGATTTGGAGAAATAGTATATACAGAATATTTTGAAAATTCCCGAATATAATATCGAGCAGTGACGAGAACAGGGTCATATTTTTTTTTTTTAAAGTAACCTTAAAAAGTCGACGAAAAGAAAACTGACCTACGATCTGTATTTATTTTTATTATTAATCAATATATCAAAATAAATAATTATTTACAGAGATAACAATAGCAACATACTGTGTTAATTTTTAAAACCCTACATCATCCTTTAACTCCACCTTCCGCTATATAGATGATGTCTTCTCGGTAAATGATTCATAGTTTCGTGACTACTAGTATGTTGAAAATAGAGTACTGACAATGAATGTCGGTTGAGAACAAAACTTTATGACAAAAGAGATGATTTCAGCTTCCCAATTGTGAACTTTTCATTTTTATGTAGCAACATTCCAGCAGCGCCTGCATATTGAGTATCTCACAGATGATGTTCAAGCATTTCCTATTGTGATATCCTGATAGAGAGTTGCTGCTTACAAGAAAGCTATTAAACCAAGAGTTCCAGGTGGTGAAGTTGAAAGCATCCTTTCGAAAGTTTTACGAACGGCATCACTAGCTGGTTGACAGTTATAGAATATATGTTCCCCATAGATGACGGTACGACGGATATGTTGCAATTGTCGTAACAACAATACCGTTCTCTTTCCCACAAATATGACCTACCGAATAAGACTTCGCATCGGGTTTGTACTTACATGAGCAGCAAGACGGGTGTCACGTGTGGAGCAGGATCTGCTTTCCCGTCCGGAGCACCTGTTTTTGGTGGGGTTAATGCTCCTCAGTCTTTAGTTTTCTATGTTATATTTTGTATACTGTTGTTTGTCCTTTGGTCATTTTTCTTATTTTGCCATGGCGTTGTCAGTTTGAAGACGACTATAAGAGTTTGAATGTCCCTTTCTTATCTTTGGTAGACATACGTTTTCCTTAGAAACGGTTAAGCTGGAATGAAAAAAAAACAGTTAATTAAAAAAGCATACAAGAGTGAATATCAAGAAATTGACAAAAATCAAAACTTGAGACAAAATACAAATATAAAAGAAGGATAAAACATCTTAATGTAAACAAAATTTAAATCTATGCGAGACGAATTTGAAAACACAAAAAATAAAATGATTTGAAGCGAAAAAAAATATAAATATCAGATCGTATAGTTAACAGTCAATTCGGTACCATAATCTAATAATATTAAAAAAGTAATGTCAAAATACACACAAAGAAACAACAAAAGTCTTAATTACAAATGTACAAATGTCAAATATTAAAAACTAAATCTTCAGCTTAAAAATGTAAAACGTGAGTATGAGAAAAACAAGTCTAAATGAATGTGAAAAAACTAAGGGGCAACATTTAATGAAACACATATCCAAAATTCCTGTCATAAAGACGAAAACCCATCACCAAAATTTCAACAGTATATAAGTGTATAAGTAAAGGAAAATGAAAATTACATTTTTATTAATTTAATGTGCTAGACGCGCTTTTCTGGATTTACTGTCTTGAAAAATTTATATGTCAGTTGCATTTTTCTGGAAAAATAAAAATCAAACTCTGATGTGCAAAAGCGAGGAACTCTGACGTTAAATTACATGCAGGTATTTAACCGGGAAAAGGAACGTAAAAATGTTTAAATGCAACAAATTGACACAGAAAATGTGACACATTTTTCAAATGAATTTTAAATTGTGCTCCTTTGCACAACAAATATGCAAGCTAGTGTTGACTCAATGTTAATGTTTCTTCCTTTCTAAATCAAAAATGATTTCTCTAACGCTATTTATTGGGGCTTCAGCTAAATGCTGAAAAAAAAAGATTATGAAAAGCATGTCTTCTAGTCGTGTCTGCATCCTATTTCTTTTTTTTTTCTGGCATCTCATTTGGATTTTCTTTTAGCAGATTGTTTCATCTTTATTTGTAGAAGTTTCTGCTACTGATAAGAGTTGCAGATAAGAATGAGTGAAGTTGTCCTGGTTTTCATAAAGACGTTCATCAACAAGAGAGTACTGCATGTTCCCGTTTACATAATTTTCTTGGTCAGTGTTTTCGTCCTTCTTGTCGGACGAAGATGTTGTTTTCACAGTCCAAGGATGAAGAGTAAAAGTGTCCGTATAAGTTTGCGGTGCTTGTTTCCAATTATCTTGCAGAGGTTGATATTGGTTTAAATATTCATCCTTCACGTTGTCTTGTTCAATGATTTCAGGTGAATCGTCCGTATCTCCGCATGGTTCATGCGGCACATCATATATATTCTCATACACATTACTGTCACGCGTGTAATCATCACTTTCAAATACATAATTGCTTTGATCGGATGTATGAATGGAACGACAACTTGCATGAACAGCGAATGTAGGGGCTTCAGTGGTACTGTTATTATCTTCTGAATACAAAGGACAGAGGTAATTATTGTGTTCAGTGGTACAGTTATTATCTTCTAAATCTAAAGGACAGAGGTAATAAGTGTCGTCCGAATTTCCCGTTGCCTCATTTGCATTAGCTATATTCTTTATCTGAATCAGGTTTATATCAGAATTTTCTACCATCCCCAACGCTTCGATTTCATCATATATGCCGTTATATGAAGTGACTCGAATATGTCTTTGTCTTAAATTATTATCTTCGTTGATAGTTTGAACTTGTCTGGTATCACCCTTTTTCCATATCTTCTTGCAAGCTAAAAGACCTAGCATCAATATCATACCGCAAGCAATGACCAATATATATACGACTAAATTCCGATCAAAAACTCCTGAAATCATGAGTTAATGTATATTTGGCTATCATGAGATAAATCAAGAATTAAATTGTCTTAATATGTTGTCAATTTTGTTTTTTTTGGTCTTGTTTACTTTTCTATGTTTTGATTTTTGTATTTTTGTTTTTATGTTTATTGTATTTTTCTTATATTTCGGGGGGGGGGGGTTTACACTTAAATACAAAAATGACAGACATGCACCAACGTCATCCACTTAACTACAGGCTCCTGACTTGGGATAGACACATAAAGAATGTGGTGGGGTTAAATATGTTTGTGAGCGCTCAACCCGCGTCTAACCTGAGAAACTGGTGGTACAACACAATATGAGAACAAACTGTAAAATTCAGTTGCAATTGGCCTAATTCAAAAGATCGGTACGATGCACAAAAACAACTAACATAAAAACAATAGCACCGAAATAAGAGTACTCGCAGTTATTGAAAGCTAGTTCAAAGCCAATTACAACTAATCAATAAATCAGGTTATCCCAGACTAATGTATCAATCATTACACATCCAACGGGTTTAGTGTAAAGACGTCATAAACAGTCATAGGAACGCATGACCGTGTGCAATGCCATAAGTAAACGTATTGACAGGATGTAGGATCATATATATATATAGAAATATCATTTTAGTTATGTTTTAATTTTACAAAAAAAAACAAAATCAATGTCAATACCAATAAAACAATATTTAAAGGTTTTTCTACTGTGTTAAATTGATGACCTTTAAGAAAAAGTTTATTCAAAGGATCAGTTAGTTTACATGGAGAGTATCTAAATTTACGGGCTTTATAAACATCATTACCGTAAAAATAATGATGTGATATTTCGTTTTAAATAAGAACTCTACAGGAACAGCCAAAATTCCTAACCAAATCTTTGTATCTATGAAAGACTTTGGTAAAGGTTTAATTTAATTTGTTGTAACAAAATCCTTGACTTAATTTTTTATTATGAACATAATCATATACATGGTATATTTGGACGTAAACACTATCTTGATCTAAAACACCTTATTGAGGTGACATAACCGCCCTGTGAAAACGACCTAACTGGAACACTGCATAAGTGCCTGCATCTTTTATGAAATGAACACCTTATTGAGGTGACATAAGTGCCTGCATCTTTTATGAAATGAAGAAATTAGTGAATATGAAAATAGGAGATGTGATATGATTTTGTCAATGAAACAAATATCATTTAAACCTTCAGAAAAAAAAATATGAGTAATTACAGGTAACCGCAGGAATGTCCACAATAAGCAGACCCAACACCGAGGTTGACAAAATGTAAACAATTCAAACGAGAAAACAATCGACCTGATTTCTATTTCAAAAATAAACGAAAAACAATGAGGACATAGATTAACCAACGACAACCACTTGGTAACATTGGGACAAGCACATAATCAATGTAGTAGGGTTAAAGCTGTTTGTAACCCTTCCTTTACTTATGACAACGGTATTACAACACGGCAGAGGACCAGAACAGTTCTGTAAAAATCCGTCGAAAATGGCTTGTCTCATCAGCTCGATATCATGCACAAATACAAATAACAAAAAGACAAAAGACACACAGTATCAATCTATGAGTTCTTGCAGTTATTGAAAGCTAGTTCAAAGCAGTGTCATCTAATAAATAGACCATATCTTAATGCTCTCGTAAACTCAATTGTTTCGTTTATCCATCAATAAAGGATCTTAATTTTTCTCTACGCATGTGTGTCCAAAAAATGAGGTAAAATGAAAGCCTCTTATTTGGGACCGGAGATGGCAAATAAAGTAAACATTCTTTCATCTTTTAGGAATTTTGTTGCTTTCATAGATAAATGAAAAGATTTAATTATTTCTATTAGTGCAGAAATATCGGTTGTGGTGTCATTGCATGTTGTGCCGTACATGTAAATGTGACAACATTGACATAGTGTTAATAGAATGAGAATATAACGCAAACTACAATACGGGGTGTAGCTTGCCTTATAGAAACACATTTTAACATCTATGTTTAAAGAAGAGGCGGAAGATACCAAAGGTATATACAACTCATAAGTCAAAGAAAACGCCATTGCAAAAAAAAATGAAAACGACCAACAGTCTACATTAAGGAACATAAAATAAACTAAAGACTGAGCAACATGAACCCCAACAAAAATCGGTGGTGATCTCAGGATCTCCAGAAGGGTAAGCAGATCTGGTTCCACATGTGATTTAGGTAATCTTTTCACAAGGTATATAATTTAATGCCGTGAATAATCTCTAAAAAAAATTGACATCATTGAATATTGCTGTTTTTTTGCTGTTTTTGCAGTTTTACATTAATTTTAAAGAGATTAAAGAAACATTAAAGTAGAATAAATAGCGAACAAATTAAAAAAGCTTAAACTTTTTTTTAATTTTAAAATCAAAGAACTAAATAAGCCTTATTATTTTACTTTATTTTTACGCCAAAAAGTTACTTAATTTCAATCTATATTTGTGTAAGTAAATATCAAAATAAAAATATTTTTGTTCTTTTTGTTATTATAAAAGCTTGTCTATTTTTGCAATAAATATTTATACACTTGCATTTTTGTAAATCCAAAATAAACAATAAACGATTGCTTTCCATTTCCTACATCTAGGTATTAGATATTGTTTAGAATGTTATATATCCAAATCGATGTTAAAAGGACGATTTTTCTCTAGTATTAACTTTTCCTTAAATGTATTATTCTTTCACATTATTTTGGTTTTTAAAATAGTTTGATTTCCATGTGTTTAAGGGCATCTTCTGGATTTAAAAAGTAATACTTTCTTCAGTTTTTATGGACTTCCCCTTTTTTAATTTGCCTTGGAGTTCTTTACTTCAACTTACTCGGATTCGTTGATTGTGTAGTTGTCGCTCTTGAAGACGTCTGTGTATTAACACAACCAAGAACATTATCACATCTAAAAAAATATATACATTTTTGATGAATAATTTGTTAATCAAAAACTAAACGCATAATTATAGATTGAGAATAAAACATTGAAGTTACAAACACATATCAATGTTTCTTGTTAGTCTATTAGGATTTTAGATTAATAGAATAATTTTTAAAATGGTTTAACCCAAAACTACACGCATAATAGACTGAAGCAAAAATTCCGTTGCATAACAGATTCCCTTAAGGTAGATTGGGTGTCTCCCTCAATCTTTGATTGTAAAATGACAGAAAACAAAATGTAATTTTAACTGTAAATAAGCACAAGTTGCAAGCTGCAAAATTGTCTCGGACATTTTTTATATCACGTCTTATAAGGGAATAAAGGCTGAATCAATTTCCGTTATAATCACCTAAAAAGTAGATATTTTAAATTCATTTTTTGTTCAATTGGACTTTACATTATCTGATATACTCTTCTGTAGCATTTTTTCTTCTCTGTATGATAAACCTACCGTAGATTTATTATCTCTTAAGTTGTAACGCTATTTAAAATAAAAGTGGTATTTCATTTTCTAAATTGTCTTTTAAATAGGGTCTTTTAGAAGTATGCAAGTTATAGAAGTTTTAGCGACTCATTTGACAAATTACAATAATAAATCCTGCGTTATAACATAAAAAAACAAATATCTTGTTTTAGGTAGGGATAAATCGTACTATGTAACAAACCACGTTTATTCAAATAACATAATATGCTTGATTTCTTGATTGACAACATATTTGTTACGTGCGGAGGATGGACGTGTTTTTCATCAAACAATCGGCATCCCCTTAGAAAAAACTAAACTCTTCTTGTCGACTTGTTCCTTTGTTTATTTGAGGCATACTTTATATAGGAAGTTCTAAGATTGAATTAAAAGAAACTAGCTAGCATTATTCTTTAACTTTACATCCCGCTATAAAGATGATGCCCTCTCACTAAATTATTCAAAATTTGGTGACCATGTTGAACGCATCTATCCCGTCTGCCTGCTATCTTGACTTAAGAGATAATACATCTACGGTAGATAATAATTGAGAATGATTGTCGGTTGAGAACAAATCGACAAAAGCGATGATTTCAGCTTCTAAATTGTGACATTTCCATTTCTATATAGCAACGTTTCAGCAGCGCCTGTATATGGAATATATATCTCCCAGTTGAAACGATACTTCACAGCTTGCATTTCCTATCATGATTTTCTTGATAGATGGTTGCTGCTTACAAGGAAGCTATTAAACCAAGAGTTCCAAGTGGTGAAGTTGAAATCATCTCTTCGGAAATTTTATGGACGCCATCACGAGTTGGTTGACCGTTATGCAATATCTGTTTCACAGATGACGATGATATGTACCAATTGTTGTAAACACAATCCAGTCCTCTTTTCCTCGAATGTGACCTACCGAATTAGACTTATCACCGGGTTTGTATATAACTGAGAAACACGACGGGTGCTTTATGTGGAGCAGGATTTGCCTACCTTGCCGGAGCACCTGAGATTATTCCTGGTTTTTGGTGAGGTTCGTGTCGCTCATTCTTTGGTTATGTGCTTAGTAGACTGTTGTTTGGTTTTTTGTTTTTTTTTCGTTTTTCGTTTTTACCATGACATTGTCCGTTTCTTTTCGACTTATGAGTTTGACTATTTCTTTGGTACAACATTTAAGTTCCGCCTCTCTCTTGGAAATGCTTCCTGAATATCTCTCTATCATGACTTTTCATTTGTCTTAGTATCTTTGACAAATGTAAGCTATTTAAATACAAAAAGTGTAGCCCTCTACGCTAAGGGTGTCATAAAAGTCTCGATATACATGTAGGACCAAGTCCGCTTTTCGAGCTAACTTGATTATGGTCCTAGGACTGTCAAAATGACTGGTTAGCAAGTTAACTTGCTTAACCGGTTAGGATTGCACCCATCTGTACGCCATAAGTGCCTATAAAAGAGCCATTTGAGTAAGACTATACATTTTCCTTTTAGAAACATGTAGAAAACACTAAACTCTCCATATTTTCCTGAGGTAGACTGTTTTCTCCTTCTTTGCCAAAATGTTGTTAATATTATGCTATTTTCAACTAGAAGATCGTAGGTTTCGGTAACGATCACCTCTACTTTGACAGCACATATCTGTATTGTATTCGTAAATTTGCTATTCTTTACTTTTTTTAAAATGCAGATATTTGGAATCAAAAATTAATTTAGACTCCCTTATCTACCTAAACAAATTATTCATATAAACTTTTGTCGTTTACTTTTATGGTTTTTCAGTCTTGTAATGTCTTTTAAAATTATGCTGCGATAATGATTTAAAACCATGATTAAAAATGTTACCTTTGACGGGTATTACATTTACAAACACAAAGGCAATCGTTCCCATACCAGTTTTCAGTACATGGCTCACAGTTAGTACCGTTTGTCAATATAAAGCCAGGCGGACATGCTGTAAAATATTATTCAAAAACTATATAAAAACTCTCATAATATAATAAAAAAATCTTACAAATGTTCTGTATCATTTTTAAAAACCGACAAATATGGTCACGAATCGCTGTATACTTGAACAGAAGCAAGACGAAAAAATGCAACAGCATATTTTTTATTATTTTATTTTTTTATTTAATGAAGAAAAATTTCCGAGGTTCCAAAAGAAATATCAATAAGTTAAACTGAAGCTCCAATGAAACTCTTCCGGTCAAAACCATGGTTAATTCCATCATTGAAAATTTTCATAAGATAAACATAAAAGGGTGCAATTGGGAGACACTTTTAATGGATTATAAATGCGATTTTATTGACATGTTGCATAAAACACCGTAGTGAATGTGGATAGGAGTGTAAACATGATTATACATGACCTTGGCAAAAATCATTCGACCATATTATGCAAAAGATATCTGGGTTTCAAAATTTTAAATGTTGACACTTGACAGTTAAAGACCATTATGGCATGGTATTGGTTGCAAAAATTTGATATTTTTCATTTAAATGCAATATTTCTTATTTAATTGGTATATTTCTTCATTTAAATGCAATATTTTTTTATTTGAATGGTATATTTTTTCATTTAAATGCAATATTTTTTATTCAGATGGTATAATTTTTCATTCAAATGGTATAATTTTTCATTCAAATGGTATAATTTTCGTTCAAATGCAATATTTTTTATTCAATTGGTATAAAATGTCATTTGAATGCAATATTTTTTATTCAATGGGTATAGTAGTTTTTTTATGTATATGCAATAATTGCATTATAGGAAATTCTTTGACGTCATAAGGTCAAATTTGCAACAAAGTTTGTGATTGGTCGGAAATTGTTTGGATTTTTTCCCCTTTTTTTCTAAACTTGAGTGACCAAGAATTAAAAAACGCGTTAGAATATCGCCCCTCTAACTAAATTTGGCGTGCGTGCGAGTTCGTGCACTGGCTGTTAATGCCAATAATGGCCAGGACGAGCAAAAAATGCGAGTGACAAGTAATAATAATTAATTTGACACACAACTTGTTCATGGATAGAAACAGATGCCTGCGTGCATGGCAAAAACACCTCCAATGAAAACCTTTTCTGAAGAAACTCTCCTACAGTCTACACATTGAAATAAAAAAAATACATAGCTAGGCCCCCCCCCCTTCTTAGTCCAGATACATGTAATCATGACGTTCTTTAGTGCTATATCATTTTTTACTTTTCTTGATCCTCAGAGACGTTGCAGGAAGGCACACATGAAAAAAGAATAAAAAGCATCCAGGACGTTACAATTATTTGGACTAAGCCCCCTCTTTTAACTACATGTAGAAAAAAAATCACCTAATTACGACAGCAGAACCAGAAACCCACAAGTAGAGACATAAGCTGTTATACTCCGGAACTAATTCTTTAATAAAGACAATTCAGGATAAATTGGAACCAGTTACTACCCCATGTTACAACAATAGTCCTATGACATAGGACTTCACTATATGAGGCGTGAACTTCATATTTAATACTATCTATAATATGTGCTCTCATGTCTTACGCTGCAAATCATTTTACATTTAGGATTCGTTGTTGAGCTTTTTTTTTACTGTTCTCGTCTCCGAGTCCCGTAAGTAGATTTTTTTTCAAGCCCCACAGTAGTTCAATAATTACTATATGTCTTTGCATAAATAAGTATGCAGGGCATATTTCAAAACATATTTTATCTTCAGGACTTTTAAATGATTTACTTTTTAATACTGCATTGGGAAGGTGGGTATACAAGTTTATTTTGTGACACATTATATAATATAATTAGGTATCCAACAAATTATATGATTGTTCGTTTAGCTATTATCTAGACCCGTACAAAATGAATATAATTAGACACATTTAACAGGGGCGGATCCAAAACCTCGGTGTCTAGAGGGGGGGGGAGTAGGTTCAAATTTAGATATTTGTATAGAGATGTATATATGCGAGTATTGGCTGTAATGGTTATGGTGTGTGTGTGAGGGTAAGGTGTTTCAGATCAAAGATCGTTTCCATAATTCTATATCTTTTAGTTTTTACAATTTCACTTTATTTTTTATCCTTTGATCTCTATTATATTTGTCCTAAACATGCGTGACATATTTGCCACTGGACATTGGCAACCAAAAGTCAATCAACGTATTCTGTATATTTCATCATTTCTTTATTATGTTATCTATAGGTTTGGTCCCGCCCCTTATCTATTTTTTTGCACATTAGGGACGACATCAAAAGTTCAATGTAGGATGAAAAAAATTTAATTCATATAGTTTTTTCACTGACCCCCTAACCCCCTCTTAACTTAATTTGGGAAAAATTGATTGACCAATAAGGATATATATAAAATCGATGTTAAATAAACAAAACTTGCAGCAATTTTGACCTTCATTGATTTTCTGATGTCGTCCCTTGTCCTCTCTATGTAAACCCAATTCATATCCTGATAAATGGTGACTCATGCATAGCATCATATGTGGTTATTAAAACAAGAAACATATTCATATTATAATAATTAATGTATGCTAGGACTTATAGATAGATGTCATTAGTCCCAGGTCATGTAATAAAGTAGGTCTTATAAAAATACAATAGCATTTTAATTTTGATGATTATATATATGTTTATATATTTAATAATGCCATTTTTTTGGGAAACAAGGGTAGGGGCAAGGCGTCTTTAAAACATATCAATGGGGCACGTTTTTTTTTTGTTCTTCGGAAGTGAGCCAGAAGAAGTCCATTTCTGTTTTTTGCATTGGGAAGATCTTCTGGCTCTCTTCCACCTCTTCTTTTTTGATAGGTTGACGGCAGAGGCACATAACAAACATGGCGTCGTTTAGTCTAAATGAAATTAATAAATTTATGAATGCAGATATATTAGAATGTGAGCTGTTTTATAAACGTTTTTATGGTATGACAGCCTTAGTAGGACATCCCTGTAGGACGATAAGCTGGATAAATATAAGAACTACACGGACAATAACAGCTAAGGGACGATTATTTGATATTCTAGGGAAGGGATTTTGATTGATTGGTGTTTAACCCTACTTTCAACACTATTGGGCTATTCTGTGGTGGTCAGTTTAAATTTATAGATGAAGGATGGGGAAGGGAAGAGAGGGCATTATTATTCATTTCAATCTGTCGCTAATCATCCTATTTTTCAGCTCTTACCAGGCAATCATATTCATATATGAAATCCTTCTGTCCCCCACCCCAACAAATAAATAAATATCAAATGGTTTTCCTCTTATTTAACACAAGTTTAAATTGATTGATTGTTTGTTGCTAATTTTAACGCCCAGTGAAAATTATTTCATGCTTGTTCAGGAAAACACGAATTTAGAAGTCACGTATATAATATAAAAATGAAGAGATGGAATATGATTGCTAATAAGGCAACTATCCACCAGAGTTCAAATATGAAGTGGATGTAAGCAATTATAGATAAGATAAGATAAGAAAAATTTATTTTAAGTCGGGTTACATGAAATACTACAAACATAAGCTCTGTAGAGCTTTTTGCCGTCATGTAGACAAATGCTTTATGTAGACAATCGTAAGGCCTTCAACAATGACAAAAACCTGATACTGTAAAGTCGTCTATAAAAGGCCCGACATGAAAAGTGTGAACAATTCAAACGAAAAAACTAACAGCCTAATTATACATAACAAAACAATTTACAAAATATCAAATATGAGTCGGGACAGGAACCAACGACAACCACTAAACTACAGGCTCTATCCCTGGGACAGGCAAATAAAGAATATGGCAGGGTGGATATAAAAACGAAGATGTGGTATGATTGCAAATGAGACAACTCTCCACAAGAGATCAAATGACACAGAAATCAACAGCTATAAGTCACCGCACGGCCTTCGACGATAAGCAAAGTCTACACCGCATAGTCAGCTATAAAAGGTCCCAAAATCAAAAATGTAAAACAATTCAATCGAGAAAACTAACGGCCGAATTAATGTACAAAAAAATGAACGAAACACAAATATGTATAACAAAGCAACAAACGGCAACCACTGAATTACAGGCTCCTGACTTGGGACAAGCACATACATACAGAATGTGGCGGGGTTAAACATGTTAGCGGGATCCCAATCCTCCCCCTAATCTGGGACAGCGGTGTAACAGTACAACAACATGTTTGTGAGCAACCCATCCCGAAGCTGAGACAGTGGTGTAACAGTACAATAAAATAACAACCTGCACAAATCAGCACATTAACTCAAAAGATAGGTACGAGGCACACAAAAAACTAATATTAAGACAATAGACACAAAGCACCGACATAAGAGTATTTGCAATTACTGGAAGTTTGCTCAAACCTAATTACAACTGGTACTGAAATAAATCTTGTTCTCCCAGACTGAGTTATCAATCAGTACACAACGTGCGGCAAAAGATTTATTAAAAAAAGAAAACAGTCTGAGAAACGTCTGGTTTACGTTGTATATGGATATAAGAAGATGTGGTATGAGTGCCGATGAGACAAATCTCCATCCAAGTCATAATTTATAAAAGTAAACCATTAAAGGTCAACGTACGGTCTTCAACGCGGAGCCTTGGCTCAAACCGAACAGCAAGCTATAAAGGGCTCCCCAAAAATTAGTAGTGTAAAACCATTCAAACGGGAAAACCAACGGTGTCTTATCTATTTAAAAAAAACGATATACTTGCATATAAATCCATATACAACGAAACGGTTTTTGAAAAGTGGACCGAACGTTTTGACCATCGAAATTTTGCAATAGAAATACTAGTAATGACACAAGATTTTAACAGCCAGTGCAGGACTCGCACGAACGTTAGATTTAGTTAGAGGGGCGATATTCTCATGCGTTTTTTAATTCTTGGTCACCTATGTTAAGAAAGAAAGGGGGAAAATCCAAACAATTTCCGACCAATCACAAACGTTGTTGCAAATTTGACCTTATGACGTCAAAGAATTTCCCATAATGCAATTATTGCACATAAATAAAAAAACTACTATACCAATTGAATAAAAAATATTGCATTCAAATGACATTTTATACCAATTGAATAAAAAATATTGCATTTGAATGAAAATTATACCATTTGAATGAAAAATTATACCATTTGAATGAAAAATTATACCATTTGAATGAAAAATTATACCATTTGAATAAAAAATATTGCATTTAAATGAAAAAATATACCATTCAAATAAAAAATTATTGCAATTAAATGAAGAAATATACCAATTAAATAAGAAATATTGCATTTAAATGAAAAATATCAAATTTTTGGAACCAATACCATGCCATAGACCATCACAAATACACAATACTTTGCAATATATAAAGTAGCTCCACACATTATTTGCTTCTTTCTAACATCGTTTGCGGAAACTGTCGATGATTTGACTTACCCGTTACCCTTAGGAAAGCGTAGGCATAACTTCTAACATAACTGTCTTCGCCATTCATGTCAAATATTACGTTTCCTGTTTCACAACTTATACTACTTGAGTCTTCTGGATACTTTACACTCTTAATGGTAAGGATTTCTTTATCTGCGCTGAGCTGATATTTGTGTGAAAGATTGCTGTCATCTACAAGTACATAGTTTCATAATGATTATCATATCAATATTGAAAATTTTAGCTGCTCGACACAATATTATAAAACTAGACAAACCATAATGTAACTCGCAGCTGATACTTTACAGCATCAATATGCAGAAAAAAATCTGCATTAAACTTTGCTTCCTTTTAAAATGTTCAAAGAAAAACGACCGAAAAGACATTGGGCTTATATCAATGAATTTAGCTCAGAAATATCCTGGACAATAGGGAATCGTTAAATATATATCCATTATTTCCTAAATGGTCAAAGCTATGAAATCGTTAATGCAAAATAAACTTCATGGTTCTATGAAGATTCGTACTACATGCGCCTTATATTCCTACAAAGAAAACATTTTGCTTCATAGATATAAGAAGATGTGGTATGAGTGCCAATGAGACAACTCTCCATCCAAGTGAAAATTTATAAAAGTAAACCATTATAGGTCAAAGTACGGTCTTCAACACGGAGCCTTGGCTCACACCGAACAGCAAGCTATAAAGGGCCCCAAAAATTACTAGTGTAAAACCATTCAAACGGGAAAACCAACGGTCTAATCTATATAAAAAACGAGAAACGAGAAACACTTATGAATCATACCTGTATTATAGCATCAATAATCAATATATTGTAATACCAGCATACAAATCCGAAGACAATGTCAGTTTAGTGTGTAATTCACGTTATAAAACAACATGGCTTATTCATTGCAATGGTCCCTAAGCCCGCATATGTTTATCTAATCTGTACTACTTTTACAAATTGTGAATTGACCCCATATAATTGTTATTGCCCTTAAAACTCATTTTTTACAATTTTTTGCGTTTTGCAGAAACTATGATAGAGAGATACTATAAAAAAAAATGTTCAGCAAAATGAGATCTATAAATCTGTTAATAATGGCCGAAATTGTCAATCCAACCCACATAGGAGTTTTGCCCTGGAAATAATATTTTTAATCATGTTTTAAACTATGTTAAATAGAGAAATACTGTAAACAACTAATATGTTCAGCACATAGGTCACATGGCTAAAATCGTCATCTTTCAGAAACTGTAGGAGAAAAATATAATAAAAAAGTGTTCAGGACAATTAGATCTACAAAAGTGCAACATAACCAAAATTTTCAATCAACCCCTTTTAGGATTTATTACCCTTTAGAGACGATTTTTACTAATTTTTTCGATTTTTGAAGAAAACTAAGTTCTACCACAAGGTTTGCCTTAGCCGTATTTGGCACAACTTTTCGGTTATTAATGCTCTTTAGCCTTGTGTTTGATTTGGTGTTCGTAATGTTTTGATTTGAGCGCCACTGATGTCTTATGTGGACGAAACGCGTGTCTGTAGTACCAAATTATAAGCCTGGTATCTTTAACGAGTTTTATATACTAGTAGAGAGAAACTTTACACAACAAATTATTTCAGCACAATAAGATCTTCAGATAGATCATAAGTATGGCCGAATTCGTAAATTGACCCCTTATATGACTTTAATAAATAGAGAGAAACTATTTACAGCAAAAATGTTTAGTACAATAGAATGTACAAATATTTCAAATTTTCGAAATTGTCAATTATTTGCAGAAACTATAAACGACAGAGAGAAGCTGTACATAGCAAAAATTTTCAGAACAATAAGATCTACGAAAAAGTCAAACACGACCGAATATAAAATTGATTCCTTATAAGTGTTATTGTCCTTGAAGGATGGCTTTTACCCATTTGTTGCCGAATTTATTGCAGGTAGAAAGAACCTATTTACAGTAAAAAGGACCAGCAAAATCAGATCTACAAATCAGTCAAGGAGAGGCGAAGGATACCAAAGGGACATTCAAACTCATAAGTCGAAAATAAACTGACAACGCCATGGTTAAAAAAGAAAACGACAGACAGACAAACAACAGTACACAAAACACAACATAGAAAACTAAAGACTGAGCAACACGAACATGGCACAAATAGTCAAAAGACACCTAATAAGGTTGTTGCCCTTCAACGACGATCTTTATCCTTCTTTTTTAGAAACTTCACAAAGAAAATATATATTAATCTCATCAAAGATACCAGGCTTATAAATTTGTACGCCAGACGCGTGTTTCGCCTACAAAAGACTCATCAGTGACGCTCGAATAAAAGAAGATGAAAAGCCAAATAAAGTACGAAGTTGAAGAGCCTTGAGGACCCCAAATTCCAAATTTTTTGCCAAATACAACTAAGGCAATTTTTCCTGGAGTATTAAATCACTTAGCATTTCGGACAATTTAAAGTTTTGTAAACAGTGATACAGTAGTTCGACTAATTAGACCACTCGGCCACCGAGGCCCCAATTTCGACTATAAACTTAAAACGATAATGGATATAAGCAAATGATCAACAAGACAGATTTTGGTACTCATAGTTTCGTTTGAACACACATGTTGTATTTTTGATTTGTGGGGCTCCTGGGGGTCTCTTGTAAAAATATCTGTACTTAAATTAAGGGATAGCTTGTAATCACGTAGTATAGAATATCAAATTTCTAAATGTTAGATGAGTGATAGGAAAAAAATTCAGAAACTATACGAGATACAGAGCAAATGTAAATAGCAAAACTTTTCAGCACAAGAAGATCCACAAATAAGTCAACATGGCCGAAATCGTAAATTGATTTCTAATATGAGCTATTACCATTGAATGCTGAATTGAACCCATTTTTGTCGGAAATTATATCAAATAGAGAACAGAAAAGTGCTTCGGACGAACGAAATTAAAGTGTTATTTTCATTATAATGTTTTGTAGTGAACCGTGTATTTAATTAGATCTATTATATATGCATTAGTTGCATTGTTCCTTCTTTATCGTTATATATCCATAAATTGCTTGTCCTATGGAGAAAAGGTAAGAAAACTCACATTGTCCATGATACAATCCTTTTCCATTTCGTCTCCAAATAGGTACTGAAGGAGGTTTTTCAAAAGGAAGGGATTCCATTTTGCACTTAAACACAGCATTTTGACCATCAGGGATAATTTGGGATTTTAGTGTCTCACCTTCTTGAAAAATCGGTTTAGCTAATTAATATAAAAAATATTTTTTTATAAAAAGAATTATACAAAGTCAAATTTATGCTTTGTGTACACATAATTCTGTTTTCATTCTTTCATTAAACATTTCACAGTCGTGTTTGCCTGAGACTTGCTCATTATGTAGTAATTAATGATTGGGCCCTGTTGGTCATATATTTCTGACGTATTTAAGTAATTATCACCAACGATTTTTACATCTCGGCTTTGAGCGTTCCTGGAATAGGTAATCAATAAAAGCGCTTCGGACTTACAAAATATATTAAGGGTCATTTCATTCAATAGTGCTTTTTGATCAACTGTGACGCATGGCTGGATTGAGACAGGAACGATACCTTCCGAAATCTAACTGTTGATACAAATCAGTCTTTCCTGTAAAGTTTATTCAGTTTTTTTTTGTTTTTTTTTTTCGCGTTGCTCAACCTTTATTTTTCTGTGTACTAGAATGTTGTTTGTCGATTTATCTTTATTATTTGGTAAATGGTTCTTATGCATTTCTTCTTTATTTAACTTATTTCTTTCATTAATTCCTTGTTATATTCTTTCTATAACATGAAATAATTTAGAGCCCCAATACTATCAAAGATGGTTGATACTTACATGTTACATTGACATATATACGAGCTTGAGCAGTACCAAGTATGTTGACGCCTCGGCAAATATACGTTCCTTCATCGGTTATGTTTAAATTTTTTATTCTCAGGTTTCTCCTGACACTAGGATCAGTGAATTGATATTTGCCACTTGGCTGAATTGGTTGATTGAAGCCAGACGAATACCATTCAATATCTGGAAGGGGACTACCATGAAATAAACAGTTTAATAAATAACTGTATCATAGTTAAAATGGTGGAAATTTGTAAATAGCAACCTATCATTGAGGAACAGATCAGAATAATTGAAAAACGCAAACTAGGGAAAACTCAAATGTATTTTAAAATCAAGAGAGCAACAAAACATTGTTGAGGCAAGTAAAACATGTATAATTCAGATTTTTTGAAGGAATAGAAATGAGTACTCCTGAAAAATTTGGTCAATATTTGAGTTTAAAAGAATTTTTAATGACAGTAAGGTAAATACTATTGTTCACTTAGAATTGGATGTTTATGACTGCAACATAGGAACCTTTACAAATCAATTACATATGTTTAAAGTTACCGTTAAGTAACTTTGGTTTAAGGTTTTTCTTTTCTTTATTTAACCGTTAGAGTGTACTATTCTCTCGCAATTTGACTTATCTTACCTCCTATACATTTCTTGGAATATCATTGGTTAAAAGCGACCGTGTATATTTCATATGGGGTTAGTAGGCGTGGTCTATTTTAGTAGTGGTGTTATGTCCCTTTATAAAAACAACACGGAGTTGAGGAGAAATCTGAAACGTTTCACCCGGACAACAGATGAAGACATTGATGATGAAAGATCGAATTAAATGCAGAAAACACATTAAAAGCTAACAAGTTGTTATTGTTGGCATTTGTTTTTGTATTTACCAATGGAATTAGGTTCATTATATTGAAGACTTGATCACTTTGATTGGCCACTAGTCTAAATGCCACATGTTAAGATAAATTTGTTACACAGTGTGTTAGTGACCTAATACGATAGATATGGGGTCAGTAAATTCCTTCGCTCTCATCCCATATGGAATTTACTGACCCCATGTATATCGTATTAGGTCACTAGCACACTGTGTAACTAATACTATTATTAATATCTACATTTTTTAATAAAACAAAAGAGATGTTGCTCAGTCTTTAATTTTGCATGTGATGTTTTGTAATTTTTGTTTTGTCCTTTCGTCATTTATATTTTTTGCCATGGTATTTCCCGTTTTTTATTGGACTAATGATTTTGTAATGCTTCCTTGGTATCTTTTCTCTTTTTTTCAAATGAGCATTCCAGATTTTATTTTTAAACCATCTAGTATTTTTCTTTTTTGTTATTAGAAACATATTTTCGCCATCAACTTTTCTTTTAGTCTGACTTTTTTCATGACAAAAGTAGGAAGATCATGAATATATTTCTGAATTATGTAAAGTTTATGCAAAATTTAGTGCTTCGTGTAGTAGAAAGCAATTTTCCGGTTTTAAGAGCCAATTCATTAATAAGCAGTCAATATGATAACTACCCAGTTCTAATCTTACATCAATATAAAAGGAGCATTATTTAATCATAATGTTAGTTTGTTAAACTTTTTAAATACTTTATGATGGGACTTTTGCCAATAAAAGTAAGAGTGTCTACATTTTTTTATTCTTTTATTTCTCTTATTGAAGCTTTATAAAAAGTGAAAAAAATATCCGTATACCGCATTTTACTAGTAAAAAATAATATTTGTCTTTAATTTGAGTTGTATAAATGTTTTGACAAAGTCAGCAGTGTTTTCTAAAATGAAATACAGTATGGTTTTAATGTTATAAAATCAATAGTCCTCGATCAACATAGTATAAACAGGTCTATATATACCGTATTGACCTCGTCAAAAGTCAATAATTGATAAATGTTTATGACGCCTGTAGCCCATTATTTTCTTCGGAAAATGCTTGTACCATGTCAGGAATATGACAGTTGTTTCTATTCGTGTCAAGGGTTGGTAAAATCGGTTGTTTGCTTTTGTCAGGTGTTATGGACTTCCCTCTTGGACTTCGTTATTTTTTTGATATATCTTTACATTAAATGCGTTTGATGTGGCTGCATTGGTAGTTATTAAAATATGGAAAAACATGATTTATTAACTACTTGTTATTAGCTTAATTTGAACTAGCTTTCAGTAACTGCGAGTACGTTTGTTGTCTTATCATTTAGGCTCGTGAATTTTTAACATTTGACATTGTAATGTCAGAGCTTTTTATAGTTTACCGTACTTACATCCACGTCCTTTGGTCTCTTGAAGGAAGTTGTCTCATTGGCAATCATACCACATCTTCGTATCTTAATAAAACTTACTATCCGGAAAAAACACACTGTAGTTCAGCATCTCCCCCAAGTAAACCATGAACATCCTGTGCGAAAAGTATTAGTGGTTTAACTATAGAAGGGTTTGTAACTGAAATAAGATATAGAAATATGATTAAGCCGCGTACGTATCAACTCAGTATTTAAAAGGTTAGAAAAAAAACCGTTCTCATAGATTAGTGAATTAGTGTAATAAAAACGGCACAGAAAGACATCTGTTTTAGGCTTTGTTGGTTAATATTTAAAAGTCAATAAGAGAGAATGCGACCTATGGCTTCAACAAGAGAATATCGTGCGGTGTAAGACGATGGAAAACAATAGAATGGTTATATATTCCATAGTCTATGTGTCGTTTGTGGGATAAACAACTAAGAGGATTAAACATGTGTTATTAACGTTACAAAACACCAAAAAAAAACACTAAAAGTCAAGAAATACAATAAGAACAAGCTTAAGAAATGGTTGTAATGGGGTATTGTCACAAAGTCTCCAAAACGCAATCACCATTAATAAATACTACTGGGAAGTAACCCTATATATCATGTATTTCTTTTCAACGTGTCGAACAAGAAAACACAGCCATTTGTAAGATATTTAAACATTATCAAATGACAGGGGTTGGGATGACACCCTAGGACACAATCTTAATGTAACAGAAAAGAACATATAAAGTTTTTGGGGAGTGGGTCCTAACCATTTACACGGTAATGGGACACTCTCAAACAGAAGGATGTATGGATGACCCCAATGGAATCCCCCTATATATCATTCAATTTATCTTGAAAAAAACACACAAGAAATTACATGGTTTATAAATAGGGGTTGGAACCATTTAAAGATATTTAAACAATCTCAAATTTTGTTCCTCTCTGTTACATATAGAAATTGTATAAAAAAAACAACTTGCCGGTTTTACTTGGGCGAATACTCCCGTCTAGTCCTGACTAGCCGTTAGTACGAACCTGTTGAGAGTCGATACCATCAGCTCAATAGTTTGTGCATCGATACATTCACGATTTATAGCTTACTGTTCTTAAACTATCTGTTTATCTGTTAAAAATTATACAAAAAACTAGGATACATCTTCATTAGGCAAAGTTGACCTTAGATGGATTTGGCTATTATGTTTAGGCCCCTTTCGGTTATATTGCTCTTCACATATTTGGGTACTTATAGTTTTTATACATCCTTCTCTCCATTTTTTTTTTCGGTTTGAGGGTTCCAAATAAAAGTAAATCAAGAAAAGTGCTACGGACGCATCAGCGCCGCGGACGGCCAGCCCTGGCATACCTTTCCCAGCTAATAATGTGTCGCGTCCTGAAAATTTTCTCCCTTGGAACGACTCGGACATCCGTCCCCGGCCTGCCTTTCCAAAATTTTGAAGTGATATTTTCATTTTGGAAACAAAACTGGTGGCAGCAAAAGAGAAGTGTAAAACGAATCCAGTGTCGGATTAAGGATTTTGATAGAAAAAGAGACTTACTAGTATTTGTTTTTTAATTAAGACGATTTTAACAAAATGTTACATATATTCGGGATTGTTAAGGTGTCATTTTGCAATAACAATATTTGATTCTTCACGGAGAAGAGGGATATAGCAGGTGCTCTACAAATTTGCACCGGGTTTCAAATCGATATTCAATAGTTTTGGTAAAGTTAATAAGGAAGTCGTCTGCAGTTATCGAGTCTGAAATTTTTTGTTTGTTTGTTTATTACATAATGTCATTGCCACCATTGTATATTACCTGCCTGTGAACATATTTAACTAAAAGTATGGCTTGTTAATACATTACCTTTAAAGACTGACATGATGACATTGCCGCCTTTGTAAAATGCTCTCATCAGCTCATTGTTTACACCACATGCATAAGGCTTAGCTGCTGTAGATCCATCATCAAGGTCAACGTACAAAAAATGCAGAGTACCTATTCAACAAACAACATTTAAATTAAAAGGTTAAGCCTTAAACTTCCAGTTTCCAGTTCTTCTCACTACACTTTCGAATAAAAACAAGGACGCCTGTTATGATTGCCATGACGCAACTATAACTATCCACAGACCAACGAGCAAAGATGTGAACAATTACTTTCAATATATTAAATCTATTCAAAGTTAAATAAACACTTACCCATGGACAAAAGAGGTTTGACAAACAGAAGACCGTTCTTATTTTAATACTTAATGTTAACATGCTAGTTTGTATGTGTTAATAAGTTAATATGAGGGTAACATTCCCCTTAAACAAATGACTCACTTTGTTACATTTTTAATGTTAGCCTCTCGTATTAACCAAATAAAAATTAAGCGGGTTATAGAATAGATAAAACTAGGGATGTCAACTCGGTGAACAATTACTAATTGAGTACTCGTTGGTTTTATCGAGCGATACTCGAGTACTCGCTCGGGAATATATCTACAACACGGAAACACAAAAATTGGTATTTTACATTCTGTGGTTTGTTGTTCAACGTACAAAAAAAACCATCTACAGAAGTATCTGGGACAAGGAATTACACACCATAATTAATAGCTCATTACCTACAAGTGCTTATTAAGTAAAAAGCAATAATCTAATCAATATAATTTAATGAACACCTATTAAAAAATTATAACAAGGAAAAATCATGTCAAACAATAGTATTTCGTAATCGTTAAGAAAACAAATTTAATGTTTACATAGGCGTAAGGATTAGATGTTTAACCATTCACTGAGGGTCACAAGAGGATGCAACAAATTTATTTTATTTGGAAACATTTTCTTGTCAACTATTATTGGGGACAGTCGGTTTTGCAACTTTGTAAATTAAAGTCTTGCAGACGAAAATATTTGCTCTGACGTCACCGATGTGACGGAATGGCTAAGACATGTTTAGTTCAAAGTATTAGCCTAGGTATAGCCCACGTATTTTCGGAGGCATTTGAAATGACAATTTAGCACAAGCATTCGAAACAAAATATATTTTATTTTCTAGTATGATTAATCAGTGATGCCTGTTTAATTTTCCGAATAGAGGTTCTCAAGAAGATATATTTTATATAAAGAAGACAGCAATATTCTAACAGGAAACCGATTAGTCGAGTATCGTTTTAGTATTCGATTCTCGGTACTACCGAGCGATACTCGAATACTCGAGTACTCGTTGACATTCCTAGATAAAACCCATCAACTATTTTCAACTTTTTGGTTTAAAACACTCGAGGTACCATATTGTCGGTTGTAGAATCTTATTCAGGGTAACAATCTGCCCTTTAATGCTCTTAGATAATTATAATTTATAAAATGTTGTTTTCCAAATCACTGGATGTGCATCAAGTGGTCTCTTCAACAAAATTATGCAACGAAAAATGCATGCAGTTATGAACAGGATAATCTTACAGTTTCAGTCCACCAGATTAATTTATCAATTTAAATTAAAAAAAATCTAAAGGCTCTAAAGAGCCTGTGTCGCTCAACTGCATCTTCAACAATGACCACTTTTTGGTTACAAGCGTACATACGCTGAAATGCTTCGCCTGTTTTACTTATGATTGAAAGTCTGTAATATGAAGGTTTTACTACAAGTATCACAATCACAAGTCCACTGTACAATCATTTCATACACCAAATATAGTGGACATATCGTTTATGATAAACTCGAAAGAGATCAAACCACAAAGTCTTACATTGACTATTGAAACATGAAAATGAGGTCAAGGTCATATGAACCCTGTCAGATAGACATGTACACCTAACAATCATTACACAAACCAAAATTAGTTGACCTATTGCTTATAGTATCTGATAAACTGACAAAACTACGAAATCTTCTCATTGACCAATCAACCAAAAAAATTAGGTCAATGTCAAATGAACTCTGCCAAACAGACATAAAAATAAGAAGATGTGGTATAATTGCCAATGAGACAACTCTCCACAAGAGACCAAATGACACATAAATTAATAACTATAGGACACCGTACGGCCTTCAACAATGAGCAAAACCCATACCGCATAGTCAGCTATAAAAGGCCCCGAAATGACAAATGTAACACAATTCAAACGTGAAAACTAACGGCCTTATTTATGTACAAAATAATGAACGAAAAAGAAATATGATACACAGAAACAAACGACAACCACTGAATCACAGGCTCCTGACTTGGGACAGGCACATACACAATGTGTGGCGAGGTTAGACATGTTATCGGGCGCCCAACCCTCCTCCTAACTTGGGACAGTGGTGTAACAGTACAACATAAGAACAAATTATAAAAATCAGTTGAAAAAGGCTTAACTCATCAGATGGATACAAACAGAAATACATATAACAAAAACATAGAGTGGAAGTGACAGGGTACATCCGCACAACAAAACGACACTAAGTACAGATCTGAGAGTACTCGCAGTTACTGACAGGTAGTTCCAAGCCAATAACAACTAATAAAAAAATCATGCATCTAAGACTAGAATATCAATCAGTACACATCCAACATCCAATGGATTTAGTGTAAAGACGTCATTAACAGTCAGAGAAAAACATGACCTTATGCAATGCCAAGATACAGGTATCGACAGATTGTAGAGCCATGAATGTGCATACATGTATGTATATAAAATAATATTTAGTTTGATTTTAATTTACTGATAACAAAATCAATATTAATACCAATAAAAACAATATTTAAAGATCTAATTACAGTGTTGAATTGGTAACCTTTTAGAATAAGTTTATTTAAAGGATCGATAAGTTTACCCGGATCGTATCTAAATTTCCGGACTCGGTAAACAACACCTTATATTCATTCCATTTAACAAATATGATTGACCTATTGCTTATAGTATCTGATAAACTAACAAACCGATGAAAAGTCATATGAAACGATTTCTTTAAAATTATATGTTCTGGACATTAATGAACCAATCCATGTATATATATACTAGACTTAGTCCTCAATGCACGATTGTTTACATTTAATACGAATCCATAACATATAATCGAGAAGAAATATTTCATTCATTGAGAACTTTCCCTCCTAATTTACTGTCGTGTTTTATTTCCGAGGTTTACCGAACGTGACCCTAATAAAGAATCAACACAGAATCATGGAGCACATGAAAAATAAGTGAGATGATAGACATGCAATAGAAAGATGTTTAACTTTTTGTATATTTTTCATGCGTTTCTTTTTGTTAATATAACTTTGTCATAACATTTATTAAATGATTTGGTGAATCAAAAATTTTTTTCGGAATCAATTGACACTATCTAACTTCGATTTGTTTACCTTTTGTTTTATTACAGTTTTCCCTCGCAATTGCGCTGTTTGGTGGTGCAGTTCTAGCGAAAGGTTTTGTGGATAATGTCACTGCATATACGGAAGTTAAAGCTATTGGCGAATTAGAATACGGTAAGACAGTAATTCAATAGCAGTACATTTCTAAAGATTTTGATACGATAAAGGATTTTCTTTTAAAGAAAGTCCCAAGTACACGTGTTGTATAGCAAAACTGAGACATTCAAGTATATGAAATATTTTTCAACTGTTTTTCAAATGTAAAATATCGTATGACTTTAACATTGACCAATGCACCATGAAAATGAGGTCAAGGTTATATCGAACCTACCAGACAGTCTAGATGTACATCTTACAATAATTCCATACACCAAATATAATGGCTCTATTGCTTATAGAACTGTAAATTCAGAAACATTGCAATGTTTTTATAAATGCGAATAATACGACTGGGCGAGGATCGCAAACATATGAACTCGCATTGCGATATCCGATACATATATATCTGTATGCAGATTTTCCTGAAATCGCAATAATTAATCTCGCATTTTTATTCATTCTTCCAAAATCGCAATAATAAATGCATGCCATAATTTCTCAATTTACGGAATCTGACATACGGACTTGGACACGAAAATTAAACATGGTCACTGATCCATGAAATGAGGTTGAGGTCAGATTAATATAAAAATAAGGAGATGAGGTATGATTGCCAATGAGACAACTATCCAACAAAGTTCAAATAAAGTGGATTTAAGCAATCATAGGCAACCGTCTGACAGACATGTAGACCTTACAAGGGAAATATATATATATATATATACCAAATACAGTTATCTTAATACTCATAACCAGTGAGTATTTCACATGACAAAAAAAACATATTTTTTTCAAGCAGTCACTGAAACATAAAAATGAGTTCAAGGACAATGGACATAATTTTTTTTTGTCACAGACAGAATTTTCGTAGCATAAGGTATCGGCACACAAGGTAGGAAATATCCAGGTCTTCTACTTTCTGCAATATAAAGCTTTATACAGATAGTTTATACCTTCGCCGCCGCCGGATCGTAATCCGTCTTACTCGCATAATAGAGGTTTCCAAATTTGATACGGTCATTGAACTTTTGAAAATAATTGATGTATACACTTATTGTCAACGTAGGTTTTATGAAACATAATCAAAAGTATTTGGAGGATTTTTAGCTGCAATTTGGTATTAATTTCACGTGGATCTTTTTTGTATTTATAGCAAACAATATTGTGTGTACTCGATTATGCTTTCAAGCAACCGTTGCACGAACGGTTGTAATTAAGATTTATTTCCCCATAAATCGCAGGCAAAAAGAAGCAAAAAAAAAATGCACATTTATCATCTATCTGATTTTCGCCTGTTATATTATTAATACATTATAGAATGAATTTGTTGGAATTTTTTAGGAAGGCTTTTAGAAAACATAAAAAAACAAGCATTCTGAGAGTATTCACTATTAATTTGCATGGCAATACATAGTCCCCTACCGGTTAAAAATTCATTGTACTGGAACAAAATGCTAACTTGATCTTTAACTTGTCATGGTGTAAACTATATAACAAATATCAAGTCAATATCCTCAATCATGACCAAAAAAAGTGTGGAAAACTGATTATT